CCCAAACCATTCTATGATTCAAAAATGGCAACGAAATCTCCTGACAAAGATTGAAGCAAAAAGTGAGATTCTTCTAGAAGAGCATTCACGTGCTTCTGCTTAGGTAGTTTCACTGGAGGACAAATTATTGGTTTGGGAGGGTGAAGGGTCCACAAGGCCTGTGTGTGTACAAGGGCATGGAGATTTCTCACCAGAATTCAGACCTGGTCTTCTGTTTGCAGACTAATGACATGATACAGAAAGTCTGCATCGGAGAGAACAACGTGATCGAAGAAGAGATACGTGTGAACAGAAGTGTCAGTGAATGGGCAGGAGGAGGTGGAGGCGGAGGAGGTGCAACTTACATATTTAAGGTACGGCAACGTAGTCCCTGTGCACCTTCAGCATGAACACATCCTGCCACTTGCCTCTAGTACTGCAGCCTGAAATGTGTGAGAACGCTTTATACACCCCTGGGGAAGTGGCCACAAAGTGAGCCCTGGGTATCCTTCATTTCCAGTTGATAGTTGTAGTGAGCTGCATTGGCCCTTTGCGTTCTTACAGCTGCTACACGGTATGGCCACATTGCTTCAGTGACTTAGGGTTTCCTTTGCAAGCTTAATAGTCTGAACTGGGTTTTTTTCACTGCAAGCTGAGATGCTGAAGCATAATTCTACAGTAAAGGGCAAATTCTACAGGACGTTATTCAAATCTGTCATTGTAGAACATCACATTTCAAGTACGTGCTTGGCCTGTACGGTGCAATGACAAGAAAAGTTGAGGATAGCCTCTATGTTTTCTGTTGTCAGCCCTCTAGCTAGAGGCCACTGATCTTTCCTGTCATGTACTAGCTGAGAGAGTGCTCCTTCCAGACACTGGTTACACATAGCTCTGCATGCTCAGACAGTTTCCGGTGTAGCAGTCCTTTACCGGTGGAGGCACTATATTGCACTACACAGAGCAGTGCTCCGTAGTTGTTTGATTTGATGGAAGTCAGCACACAATAACGTTACAAGCTTTCTAAGAGCCATCAGCACTCTAGGTACAAGTCATAGAGCTGCTGATGACACTGTTCCCGGTTGCAGAACTTGGTAGCACTAGTACTATTCATTAATCTTAAATAATGCAATAGTAATTTTTTAGTCCTGAGAAGTCCTGGATGCTTGCTTAGTGCAACACATGGTAACTACCTTGTGGTTGAGCATCCATTTGCGTGTCTGACTCAGTTTGAACATTGCCTTCATTTCTGAATTTGTTAAGATGGAGAATGGAGAACCAGTGCCCTTGATAATTGCAGCAGGAGGTGGTGGCAGGGCCTACAGGGCCAAAACAGACACATTTCATCCAGAAAGGCTGGAGAATGATTCCTCTATTCCAGGGCTGAATGGAAATTCAGGAGCTGCAGGTAAGGAAAGTTTATTCTTTTTAAGAAAAACTTTGTGAATATGTGATACTCCCAGATTCCTCCTCACCAGGAGGTGAGGAGAAACTCGTGAAAACACAGTTCAGGGGGAATATGGAAGTATGACTGATGCATGTAGGGTGTACCCACAGCGCAGAATACTCGGCCTAAATAGGGGTATCGGAGATGGTATAGCCATAGCAATGGCAACGTTCTCCCACAGTAATGTAGTACCTCTGGTAATGAAGTTGTTTGATTTCTGGTGTGGGAGTTTGCAGTGCTGATGTGGCCATCCTGCTCCTGCACTGTTTTGTGCTGTGTAGACATACAGTTTCCCTGGCTTATGCAGAAAGAGCATAATTGCACCCTGGCTGGAAGTCTCTGTGAAGAGACCCTGAACTGAACAGCAGAGCTGAAAGTGAGTCACTGGTGAGTATGTTGTATTTAGAATGGAGCTGGGACACGTTTTCACATCCCTTTCACTAAATTCCTTTTGTTCCACTTCAAAACTGACTGGTCTTTTTTCCAAAAATGTTTCAAGAAGTATTTCAGAAGTATTTTTTTAAAAGAGAAGGGGAAGGCTCTGTAAGCCAGAAACAAGTGATTGGAGAATAGGCAGGGATATCTTTTTACATTTTCCATAGAAAGTACTTGTCCTTGCATGGTGAAAAGAGGTGCAGATGATTAACGTGGTCAAAAGCCCTACAGAAAGGTCACTGTAGCACTGCGTAGCAAGCATATCCCCTCTTCTGAGACATGAGATCCTTCCTTTCAGCTGAGGTGTTCTGAAGGAGTACTTGTTCTGCAGACCCTTGTTGTGGGGTGTTTTTACCCCAAAATAACCCCTGCCTGTGCCTTTTCTCTTCTCTTAACTGCAGGTGGTGGAGGTGGCTGGAATGATAACACTTCCTTCCTGTGGTCAGGAAAATCCCTGCTGGAAGGTGCTACTGGAGGAAGATCCTGCCCCCAGGCCATGAAGAAGTGGGGGTGGGAGACAAGAGGGGGTTTCGGAGGGGGTGGAGGGGGGTGCTCCTCAGGTGGAGGAGGCGGAGGATATATAGGTAAAGTGGCTTCGTGTTCAAGGTGTCCCTTCCCCTCCTTTAGTGCTAATGATCAGCAAATCGCTGATAGATAACTCTCCTGTAGCTAGCATATTTGACTGTTCTGTACTAGTATGTCTGTGTGTTGCCTTTTTAGCTCTAGGTGAACGTGTGGCATTTAGTCTTTGAGCAAATAGCCAGGTGTCAGTCCTTCAGCTGTAATCCTGGCTTTGCAGGCTGAAAAATGTGCCATCAAGATCCTGCTGTGGTTCTTGAGCCTGCCGTTTTGGGGTCACGGTGCTGAAGAAGAAGGAGCCACAGGCCATGTGCTCCTGTTTGCCAGCACCTGCGTTCCGAGCGCTTTGGTCTCGGAGACGGGCAGCCAGGCTTCATGCCAGGGGAAGGACACGGCTTCTTCCAGCTTGCCTTGCTGTGGGTGGGCCTTCGTCCCGCGCAGGGGGTCTCTGGGGGCAGAGGCTCAGGCTGCCAGCCAGGACCCCTCTCAATAACGACAGTGGTGTTGACTCCAGTCAACAAGGAGCTAATTTCATGTGCTGCGGGTCTCAGGACAGCTGTCAGATGGCATTATGTTGATTAGAAGTGGTGTGGGCCAGATTCAAGAGCTCTACTAACCCATAATCTTCTGGGCCACATACTTTCTTCAGCCATCTGCGTTGTGGTGGACTTTTTAACCCCTGGTTCTCCACAGCTTAAATCAAGTCTATGTTAGACTGGAAATCCTGAGAGGAAGTAAGAAGTTTAAATGACTAAGTGCATGTTTTGTACCAGTGTTACTGTGTAATGCTTCTTTTTCCAACAGAATGCCTCACATGACATAATTTTCATTTCCCTGAAGATGATTAAAGAGGAAAAGCCATTTTTGGGTGGGGTGGGGGAATCTTTGCATGCTTGTAGCACAAAATATATGGCCCGTACTGTGCTTCTAACATGTTCTATGTATTCCCCATACTTTGCTCCTGATATGCTCTATATGCCTTACCACAAATGAGCAACTCATAAATTCCTTCAGTCCCCACTCCTGGTGGACGACCCTGCTTTCAGGGTGCGAAGGAGAAGAAGGATATCCAGTTATTCATTCCCTCTGCTGACACAGTCCATACCTTGGTCAGCAAGGGTCCAGTCTCTTGGCCACATTAATTTTAAGAAGGGCTTACATGTTTTCACAGCATCCAAATGGTTAAAGATGAAGTTTGTGCTTAAGGTATTCTTTAGTTTGCAACAGTCTACCTAAAACAGGGCTAAGAAATTCGTTTTCACAAGCTGCTGCAATTCAGTTGAGGTTTCAGAGGTGACAGACCAGTGGGTTCATGTCACATCTCACTAAGTGTTCCCTGTATGTTTAATACTTTGATTTATTCTCTTTTCTCATTTGGATGCCTCCCTAAATATTCTGAAGTCATGCATGTTACAATGCTTCTCTGTATTTTAGTGCTGATGAGCTTCAGCCTGTTAAGGTAACTTCTGGTTTGACGTAGGTGGCAATGCTGCAGTGGACAATGACCCAGAGATGGATGGGGAGGATGGTGTGTCCTTTATTAATCCAATTGGTACTTTATACACTCCAGCACTTAAAGGTATTCATGTTGGTCAAAAGTCTTCTAGTGGGTTTCTTTCAGGTTAAGAATAGTTGGCATCTGTAGGACACTTTGGGTACAGCTTAGTGTCATCATGAAACCGAGGAGGCAGAAAGATAGCTTAACAAAGTCCAATGGAGAATAAATAATAATAGGGAGAAAACAGGTGGAGAGAAGATCAAGACTATTAGAAAACATTTCCCAACAATACAGTCTACCAACCTCTAGAATAATTTTGGCCAAAGAAAGTACTAACAGAACCTCATAGTTCGGGTAACTTAGGAAACATGCAAAGTACCTGCCTCCTCACTAACAAGCATGTTCCTTAGAGCATCCTTCAGCAAAGTATCCAGGCTGGACCAGGGAGTTTCTAGAGAAAACAGTGCAGCACTGCCCAGCGGTGCGTGGGAGTGATAAATACTGCCACTTCAGTCTGTGTTTGCCCAGAAGTCAGTGTCTTGAATGTGTTTGCGATGTGTTCAGAACATCCAAGAATATCTGTTTGCTAAAAAAAAAAGTTTGCTTTAGAACAGCCAGCAGTATTTTCAAATACAGATGGACTCTGCCCTGATAGATTTAGCCAGAAAGTTTTGACAACATCGCAGTGTTTGATCTGAGAGGGAGTAAAGGCCAGGAAAGGGAAGGGTGAGCTTCACAGACCACTGAAAGGGCAGGTTTCCCTGAGGGTCAGCAGCAGCCTCCTTGCTAACCTGGTAGGGCTCCCTGCTGAAGGAGAGCCAGTGCACCTCTGCGGCTGTGGGGCTGATTTAGCTGGACCTTATTTTCCACATGAGAAAATGACAGGAGCCTTGGAAGATGGGGAGAAACCTGTTTCTTAAACGGGCCCCACCCTGGCAACTGTGACCTCCGTGTTTCCTGTTTTTGTCAGTATCCAAGCGAACGATGTGAATGATCCCTACAGTAATTAACTCAGCTTCTTTCATCCACTCCCTAGTGACAGAAGGGCACGGAGAGGTGGATATTAGGCTGCATCTTAACTGCAGTCACTGTGAGATGGACGAGTGCCGGGTTGATCTCGAGACTCAAAAAGTCATTTGCTATTGTGAGCCAGGCACAGAGCTGGCTGAGGATGGTGTGTCTTGCATAGGTAAGTAGCTGTATGGGGTAGGCTGGTACTGGGTGAAACACAAAATGACTGCCAAAACTCTGTAGTTTGGACTGTAAAACATCCTGAAAGCATTACCTGGGCACTTTCTCAAAACTGGCTTCTGTTGAGGGTAGATTTAGATTAGATATCAGGAAGAAATTCTTCACAGAGAGGGTGGGGAGGCACTGGAACAGGTTGCCCAGAGAAGCTGTGGATGCCCCAGCCCTGGAAGTGTTCAAGGCCAGGCTGGACGAGGCTTTGAGCAACCTGGTCTGGTGGAGGGTATCCCTGCCCATGGCAGGGGGGTTGGAACTAGATGGTCTGTAAGGGCCCTTCCAACCCAAACCCTGCTGTGAGTCTATGAATTTTACCTTCTCTCCTGACAGTGTGTGCTACAGAGTTATTTTGCTAGGATATAGACACACTGGAGCTGAGGCAGTGGCTTGCTTTACAGTATATGTTTGGCGTGCTGGGCAGCACTGAGGAGGGTCAAATTTTGCATCTGGTTGCAGTGATGCTCACATTTTGCTCTGAAATCACAGAAGTTTGCTCACTGAAGGAATTTTCCAGCTAAACTTGACTTCCAGGTCCGTCCTCTTGAGAACCAAAAAAATGTACAAATTGAAGGAGAATATAATTCCTGTGGATTTGGGCACATAAGACGCATATGGAGAATCTACAAGAAATTTTGCATGAGCTCTCTCTGACGAAAACTGAAGGCAGTGCCCATACTTGCCTTTCTTGCAAAACCAAGTGTCCAGACCTCCATTCCTAGGTTTCCTTCATGATCTTGCCCACCAATTACAGAACTGATGCCAGGGTTTTGGGATCCTGTTCTCTGATTTCTCACTGGCATGGGAAAATTGTTCTGTATTGCCACCATTCCCACGTATAAAATGGGTGAAAAGCACGGTCATTTTGCCAGGGTGAATTAAACTTTAATAGATGGTCATTGAATGACTCGTGGTCCCAAGTGAGGATGAGCTATGGAATACTTTGTACCACACTTACTGTTACCAGGTTTTTCTGCCCGGATTAGATGCATTCAGGAGATGACACATTGCAGTCCCCCTTCTGCTTTCGCTGTGATTTGGCATTGATAGCCGCACTCTAACCCTGGCAATGTAATGTTCTTTCCACCTCCCCAACCTCCTGCCCCTGGTATGTATGGTCGTGTTTTCATACCCAGGGAGTGCACGTGTTAATTCGTTGATGGACAAACCATCTGTTTTAATGGCTTCATACTAATTGAGGGAAGTGAAACAATGAGGTATTCGAGGTCAGAGATCCTGAGAACTGATCATGCCGGAGGTTTCTCCTACACCATAGGAGCAGCAGATGAGTGAATGGAAGGAAGAGCAGAAAAATCTATCTGCAAAAAAGTGGCTGCTGGAAGAGCATTTCAAACATGTAATTCCTTCTTCTCCTGCCTCTGTTACAGCTGAGCCAGTGGTTCATCTCCCTCTCTCCTTGGTCTTGTCTGTAGTGACTTCAGCACTGGTAGCTGCTTTAATTGTGGCTTTTTCAGGAATCATGATAGGTGAGTGTTTCTCTGCAAAATAAGTTTTCATATGGTAGCTGGATCTGAGTCAGGGATAATTGGGCCCTGGGAGGCAAAGGGATTCAGGTTTTTAGTTATTGCTATATTTAATGACACCTTCCCACACACATACCTTAACTTCAGACTTCAGTAGTTGTTTCTAACCACGATGAACAGTTTGAGGAGGTTTCAGTTACTGACTGCATCTTGAAAGAGAGATTATTGCTTGTGTTGTAGTGTAAAGCTGCCTGAAGGCAGGTGCCACTGCTTATGTGAGAGTTGTTAGTGCTTAATGCCTAAAAGCAAGCTGCTTTATCTGCGTGCTTACCTGCAGATTTAGCCTCCCAATGTAGGACATTTAAGCCTGACATGCTCACATAGGTTCCCCTTTTACAAACTTGCTACTTAGTAGGATGTGGGATGAAATGCTAAAAGGTATTTTTCACCCTTTCATTTTCTTATTCTAAACAATTGCTCACCCGCATTGGATGGCAAGCAAAATAGATCTGAATCAGTGAAAAGCAGCCAGGGATTCAAACCACAGCTCCGCCACCTCTCGTTGTCCACACAGTCTGGGGGAAGGGAGAGATGTACCCAGAGCAGCAAATGGCAACTATTAAATTAGATTTGGGCAGCTGTTTCACTTTTAAGAATTTCAGGAGTTATCAGTTGCACACACATGGGCTTACACGTAGGATTTCCGGCCTGACAGTACCCCTTTAAAATTACTAATTGCTTTTCAGGGAGTGGAAGAGTAATCCTCTTTCCATCCAACTAACCTATCACTGCCATCTCAGGAAAGAGCAGCAATTTTAAAAATCAAAGCAAAAGCAATGAGGAGGAAAATGGAGGACAGGAAGGGTTTGTGGATAGGTCATTACACCCGTCTGCCTCTGCCAGTCTGTGTTTACCCCTTAAATTCTTCCCCTGAGCACAACATCTGCTGGAGGAGATGCAATAGCTATTACTGTCACAGTCTTTGGGCTCAATCCAGCTCCCACAGAAATCAATAGTAGGGGTAATAGTGATTTAACCTGCTCCTGATTGGCGTCTTGCTTTGAAAAAAATACTGCAGTATCAATTACTATTGCAAGGAATATCCACAGCATGTCTTTTTTCAAGGTGTTGATTTCTAATGATGTTTGAGGAGTATCAGTGAAGTGATTCAAGAAATACAACACTACCAGGAACTGATTTCAAATTTAGTCCAGCTCTGCTGTTTAGAAACAGGAAGGTTTGCAGAACGAGCTAGTTTTATATACAATGCGTTATTGTGAGGTAACAGTTTATCTGTTTTGAATAATTTGATGCAATAATTCATTTCTGATTTTAGTCACTTCTGCATGATCTAGTGAAGTTGGTTGTACCCCGACTCCCTCAAGTCTGGAACTGGACTCATACTTGGAATGTCCAGTTAAACTAAATAACAAAACAAAACCCTCAGAACTGTGAAAGAGATCTCTGCAAGGGACATTCATTTTGCTTCTTCCAAACTGTTCATGAGCAAGCCTGATTCTTCATAAGATGTGTAAATCAAAGGTTCCTGGATAACTTCAGATTCCATTTTCTGTCTGTAATTACTTGATGTACAGAAATATGACTGTGTTGCTCTCTGGCTTTATTCACCGAAGCTTGGGCACATTGAATTCCAGCAAGACGCTCTGCTGTCCTGTTCCAAAGTCGACCTGTGTCTCTGGTTTACTGTGTTCCCTGTATTTAGTGTATCGCCGGAAGCACCAGGAGCTGCAAGCCATGCAGATGGAGTTACAGAGCCCAGAATACAAGCTGAGCAAGCTGCGTACCTCCACTATCATGACAGACTACAATCCCAACTACTGCTTTGCAGGGAAGACCACATCCATTAGTGACCTCAAAGAGGTGCCTCGAAAAAACATCTCCCTCATCCGGTAAATTCATCTTTGCCTTCCCCATGCTTCTCTCTGTAGGCTCACTTTCGCTGGCTCTCCCACACAGATGCGAACCCCTGTCTTTGTGCAAGCGTGTACAAATGCTCACTCACTTTCTGACTCACGCCCCTTCTCATAACAAAGGTGTAAAGGTGTAGTAGTTAGGCTTGTGTGGAGGAGACTAGACTTTGGCAGCCTCCTTGACCTTTTACAGGTGCAGTGTTAATCTTCAGGGATTTTGAGAGGAACTGAAGAGTCCTCACCAGTAATTCAGACACATCTTTTGCAGACTGTGCAATGAATGGCCCATTTCCAGCCTTAACTGATAAAATGCTGGCAAGGCTGAGGCTTGTAGGAGGCTCTTTTAAAGTCGTTGATGGGATCTTTGGTAAAGACAATGACGTCCTTAAGTACAATAGCAGGAAAAGCTTTTTGGTTTGAAACTTCCAAACAGCATTAAAAGGACAAGAATGTAAAGCCAGCAGGATAGTCATGTCTAGATCAGAACTTCTGGGAAGTTTGAGGTAGTATCTTAAGAAAAACTTGAAAATTCAGAGTTCTTTCCCACCTTGCTGTGCTGCAGGATACAGCGCATGCCACTTGTGAATGTGACATCACCCTGGTGCTAGGCAGTCGTACGCACAAAGCCAAAAGTGGAAGCAAGAGAGCTTGGAAAACTAGGAAGCTTATGATGCTAAGGAAGATGATGCTCAGAGCAGTCTCTGCAGTCTGCGATGTTTTGCTGTCTCTTATCTCATTTCCCCCTTACCTGCACATCTTGCTGGACTACATCTGGAAGTTTCCAGTGCACTCTGTGCTGCTGCTGCCTTCGTCACTTGGGCTCTGAAAGGTTTTTTGAAGTGTGGCAAGCTGCAGAGAGCCAAAGATACAGCTGAGAATTTATAAGGGCAGGGAAGGTGGGCTTTTTTGGGAGGAGGGTGAGTTATGAGCTGTAGAGATCTGCTTTATACCCTCAGTTTGTTATAAATAGGTCAGGCATAGCCAAGAATAGTGTCTCAAGCTGATACCTACAATGTGTTATTAAAAGGAGTGGTTGAGTCACAGGCAAAGCAAGTCCTCGCTGTGGTTTCACTGCCTAGACTGGTCTTTATCCTGGCAAAATATGGACAGAGCTTATGCAACCAGAGCAGATTGCCCTTAGCAGCACCTAGGACAACAGCCCATGCGAGAACACCCCACTGACAGGCCAGAGAACAGAATCGGTGCGGCTCTCAGGCCAGAGCTGGCTCTACCAGGAAAGTGTGTGTTGTAGAAGAGAGCCTTTTGCTCAGACCAAGATGCAGTAATGTCTCTTAGACACTCAGACTACTACTGCCCAATGTACAGCCCACGCAGGGTTAGAAGGAACTCCAGATCTGGGATGCAGCCTCAGAGTTCACTGTGTTGTTATGACATGCCACCGGTGTGGTACGACTGCTGTTGCACCGGTTGCCTTAACATTAAGCGAGTGACGACTGAATAGACAGGTGTGCGAGATCACAGGGACATAGGGCAGGATCTGTTGTGTGATGACTTTAATCCCTTTCTCCTTGTATCCTTATTCAAAATAAAACCATAAATTTCATAATATGATCAGTGCCAGAAACAATTCTCAGCATGAATTCCTAGCATTAGTGCTGTGCAAAGCACTATCATTACCATTTACTGACTAAGGCACTTATCCAGAATCACTAAATAAATCAGGAAGAGATACTTGGTTTAGAATTCAGGTCCTTTGAGAACCATTGTGCTTCCTAGTTTCTTGTTCAATGTTTTCTTTAATGCTGATGGATAAACATCATGGGAACTGTTAATGTGATTAGGGTGTGGGAACACTAAGACTCAAGTCTTATCTTTATTGACCTGGTTTGGAGCACCCACCACTAGAGCACTGACACCAAAGCCGTAGAAGAGCCCTATCCATTACACACTGCAATGCCAGCAGCTTGATTTCACTGGGGACTGTTCACTTTTGAGGATCGCTTTCCTGACCAATTAAAGTCATCGTAGGTCCAGGAAAGATCACATCAAGGTCTGGTCCCCCGCGTGGCGTGAGGAGTGGTATCACCAGTGTCAATATCCAGCTCTCCTTGCTTCACTACTGTGGAAATTGTGGGCCAGGTCTGTGAGCTGTGACCACAGTGTTATAATGTGTGTTCTCTGTAGTAAAACCTTCTTGTCTTCTCTGGTCTGTCCAGGGGTTTGGGCCACGGAGCCTTTGGTGAGGTATATGAAGGTCAGGTGGCAGGGATCCCCAGCGACCCCACTCCCTTGCAGGTGGCTGTGAAAGTAAGTGACAGTGTATGAGTTATCATGATGGTTTCATGCACCTTTCACCCAAGAGTCCCAATGCATTATAAAAATGAAGATGAATTAAGCGTTACTGCGGTTCTGAAGGATGTGGCTAGAAGGGTTGTTGCTCAGTTGCAATGCTTTAATCCATTAGAGCAATGGTACAGCTTGTAGCACATGGGCTTGTGAGACTACTAAGAGAGGTCTGTAAGTGGTAAATAGGCAAAGATTTCCCATACAGCTGCAGGAGACTGCAGGTGTGAGAAACAAATCCATCCTCTGTCCATCCTCCACGTGCTACACCTGGTGTGGTAATGTGTCCAAAGCCTTTAAGTCAGAGGCCAAAGGACTTCACGGGGCCAAGAGCAGCTGGCACACACATCAAGGAACCTGCAGGTAGGACATGGCTGGTTTTCCAGGGATCTCACCGCTCCATTACAGGATGGATATGCACTGGATGTGTACCTAATCCTGAGAGACCCTGGTAGGGTTCTCCAGGCCTTCAGCAGCCTAGCTAACTTGTTTTCTCCTGGAGGTGAGAGAGCAGCACAGCCCTGCTGCTGGTTATAGCTCACAGGCTTGCTGGGAGGTAGGAGTATTGAGCTGCCAGAGAGCTCAGGAACTGTCGTCTCATTCCTTGCCCTCTATACAGCAGAGTCCCATATATTCAGCTCTGTTCCCTGTGCACTCCAAGCTATTTCCTTTGCTGGGAGGAGGATGACAGCAGCGTTGATGGGCTGTGTGTTCTGATCTTTGCCTTTCAACAGGCTTCACAGTCTAGCTTAGTAATGGTGTAGCTATTATCTTAGAGTGAGGTGTCTTTTAGAGAAATAAGGATTACTGCAGACAATGTTGGTGCTTTTGGTTGTGCCAGGTACAGGTATATCTGTGAGCTTACATACCCTCTCCTTGTCAACCTGTTCTTTCTTTTCCAGACATTGCCAGAAGTCTGTTCAGAGCAAGATGAGCTGGACTTCCTCATGGAAGCTCTCATTATTAGGTGTGTATGAATAAGATGAACAGCACTTGTGGAGGCTTGCAAAGCACAGCACTGTGAAGAAAAAAGGTGCTTTGAGAGGTGATGTCCACGCCTCACATCTATGCAGTAGTTATAGCGCATGGCTGTTGGTATTTTACAAAGAGGACAGGCAGTACCATCCTTTTAGATTCTTCTTACAAACAAAGAGGCACCAGATGATTAAGGGCTAAATTTTCAAGCGGGTCGACATTGGTTTTTATTATCCAAAGTGAAAATCTTTAGGCCCAGTTCTCAGAATTGATAATAGAATCCTTTGATTTCTCTGCGAGACCAGAACATGAGGTAAAACTAAACCTTAGGAGTTTGGGTTTGACTAGTCAGAACTAAAAGGTGACATTGACTTAATGCTGCTGTCATGTCAATGTCAGTGACTGAGTCCTAGAAGCCATGGAAGTAGTTTCCCATCACACTGAGGTCTGAAGAAATAAAGAAGAATTAAACACTAGACCTTGAGGAATATCCCTTCCATAGGGAGGGATCCCTGTGTCAGTATGTTAAGTGGAACAATTCTGCCCTAGCACAGCTTTTGTCCCTTGCACAGGGAAAATAACAGAGAAAAGCCTGCTCCTATCAGACATTCTCTGCTTCCTGTGGCCCACAAGTCTTGCTGTAGCCTAAAAAGGATGCAGAACATAGGAAGAGGAAAAGCAGCTAAAAGCCACTCCATCCCCACCTCTGTTTCTGCACTATGCAGAGTGTGGGGGTAGCACTTTAGCTTTATCCAGTTACCCTACCTTTGAGATTCCTTACTCTCGGGGCCGGGGTGGGGGTGTCGGGCGGGGGGAGAGGATTCCCTGCAGCAAAATATTTTGATTCTTCTCGCAACTGTGTTTTTTGGGTCAAAGTTGCTCCATAATTGTGTCTGCCTGTCTCCACAGCAAGTTCAACCACCAGAATATTGTGCGCTGTATCGGGGTGAGCTTGCAGGCACTGCCCCGTTTCATCCTGCTAGAGCTCATGGCTGGAGGTGACCTGAAATCGTTCCTGAGAGAGACGCGGCCTAGACCGGTAAGAAAAGAGAAAATTGAATTTTATTTAGTAAACTGCTGCCACAAGGCAGTAAATACTTAACTATAAAAGAGCTGATCCATGCAGGTGCTATTTCCCAGCATTTTAGGGGGTCAGACAATTTCTGTCGCCAGAAGGCCACTGTGGGGGCAGGGCACAGATGTGCAGGGAAGAGATGCTGCTGGGGTTATGCAGAGCTGCCTCATTCCTGCGCTTTGATATATAGTATTGCAGAGACCATATAAAGAAAGAAAAAATTTAAGTTTAAAAATGTTAAACTCTGCTCTTCCCTTCCTCACACCAGCTGGGGGTGGGTTGGGGGTAAGCGTTGAGCTAGTAGTGATAAATCCATTATTTAAACTGCTGATCGGGTGCATTCCTGTGAGTATCTGTCAGTGCAAGTTCGACATGAGCAAGGAGAGAATTTGGCCTGGAGCTGTTGACTTAATACCAAATGTCTTTAGTCCAGAGTTTTAAAGATTTTCCCACTGAAATCAGCATCAATAGGAGATGACATTCAGTTAGAAATGTGTGAGAAACAAATTACAGCTTCTTGAGGGAAATCCGTATTTCAGAAGAGTAAATTTGCTCTGAGCCCCTGGATCAGAAAGGCACCCAGATGTTGTTGAAGTTTAGCACTGGGGCCCAGCTTTGTGCTTTGTCTCTACATTTCTTTGACAGGGGGCAAAAGGCTGGATTTTATCGGTGCAAGAGGGACACAAAGTGGCTCTAGCAGATATAAATAAGATTCTTCCTCGAGACAGCTGGAAACAGATTGACTTTGTATTTTCTCTTTGCTGTCTGGTTTTCAGACGTATAAAACGGTCTGTGTTGCTCGGGAGCACCTCAGTCTTGGATAGGTTGCAGTAAAGTGGCTCCTGCCTGGATAAGAAGGCTAAACACCCAGAAAGTCAAGATGTTTGAAATGTGAGCAAGCAGTCTTGATAAACAGAGGTTGGTTTTCCATAGCACCTAGAGATGCTCTTGTCAGCTCATCCCAATGGGCTGACCTGGATGGTAGGCCAGTGGGGAAATTCAGGTTTTGCAATGTGGGCAGTCTGAAACTGCCAGGACAGGCTGTGCTGGATGTGTGAAGTGGCAGGTGAAACAGGATGGCGTAGAGCAAGGGCATCCATCGCTTTGTGATGGAAACACCTTTTGGCTCATTAAATCAGAGGCAGAAGCAGGGTCGGTAATGATCACAGTCTTATGAGGAAGCACCAAAAACATTAGTCCTGAACAGCAGGACTCTT